CGACCGCAACAAAGGATACAGCCCAAGGTGCTATGGCTGTGGGGAAAAGGGCCATCTTCGATCCAGCTGCCCTAAGCGAACCCTAGAAAGGGAAATTGAACGATCTCAGGAGGGTAGTGCGGCCAACAGCGCCGCCCAGCAGCAGCAGGGAAACGAGTAAAAGCCAGAACTGCGGGGCGGGTGCTGGCTGATGTTAAAAGAGCCCCAAGGATCTCGATCTCACAAACCCATGATGGGAACAGCCTAATCATAAAGGGCGAGATCAACGGAATGCCGTGTAAGCTGACCATAGACACTGGAGCCTCTCGTACGGTTGTTAGTTCCCAACTTATAAGTCAGTTCCTTGGGGACTCCGCATACAACCGAGAACGCATTAATTTGGTAACAGCCACCGGTCAGCGTATACCCGTCCGTGGAGAGAAGGAGATGGAGTTGAAGCTAGGCAACGTGATCTACCTGCATAATGTCATCGTGGCTGATATAATGGACGACTGCATCCTAGGCTTAGACTTTATGAGGAATAATTGTTGCGAGATCGACGTTAAGCAAGGTGTTTTGAAATGTGGACAGGAGGAACTTTTTATGGAAGGTGCGTTACCAGGGAACGTGTACAGCATCAAGAAGATTGTTCTTCCGCCGAGATCGGAAACGATTGTTCCGGTTAGTCTTCCTCGAAACGCTGGGCAAACTCACCGTTGTGTACTTGTGGAAAGGGTAAACAATGACCTTCCATGGAAAGTAGCTCGAACCTTGGTCAGGACCACTGACAGCTCAGGAGTACGTGTGCTGAACCTTTGCGACCGGGAACAGATTATAGAAAAAGGCACACTGGTTGGTACTTGTGAGGAAGTGGATTGGTTACGTCAGTGCCAATCTATATCGAGTGGGACCCCCAGCAAGGATTCAGAAACGAGAGTGACCACACTTTTGGAAGACTGTCGCAGTGTTCTGTCCCCGAACGAATTGGTCAAGGCGAAGAAGTTGTTACTCAAGTACGCCGATGTATTCTCATCAAACGATGCTGACATAGGAAAGACTGGCTTAGTTCAACACAAAATAAACACAGGAGAGGAATTGCCTATCCGTCAGCGGCCAAGAAGATTGCCGGTAGCACGTGAAAAGGAAGTGGAAACCATGATTGAAGGAATGGTGAAGGATGGTGTTATTGAACCTTCCTCTAGTCCATGGTGTTCACCAGTGGTGCTGGTGAAAAAGAAGGATGGCAGCATGCGGTTCTGTGTTGATTACCGCCGTCTGAATGACGTTACAAAGAAGGACAGCTATCCCTTGCCAAGAATTGATGACACGCTGGACATGCTTACAGGAGTAAAATGGTTTAGCACGCTGGATCTAAAAAGTGGCTACTGGCAAGTTGAAATTGACCCTAAGGACAAGGAGAAAACTGCGTTCTCGACGGGAAAGGGTCTGTGGCAATTCAAAGTAATGCCGTTTGGGTTGTGCAATGCTCCAGCAACGTTTGAAAGGCTGATGGAACTTGTACTTACCGGGCTAATTGGCGATGCCTGTCTGGTCTACTTGGATGACATCATCATCGTAGGCCGTACGTTTGAGGAACACCTTCAAAACCTGGAACGCGTGCTCATGAAGATTCAGAGTGCCAACCTCAAGTTGAGCCCGAAGAAATGTTCACTATTCCAACGGCAAGTTAACTTTTTGGGGTTTGTAGTATCGGAAGAAGGTATCCGCACAGATCCAGAGAAAATCGCCGCTGTCAAGGATTGGCCGGTTCCAAAAGACAAGACGCAGGTTAGAGCATTTTTGGGTTTGTGCTCCTATTACCGGCGATTCGTGAAGAACTTTGCAGATATAGCTAAACCTCTGCACAAGCTAACCGAGGAGAAGCGACATTTCTGCTGGGATGAAAGTTGCAATATCGCATTCCAGGAGCTCAAGGACCGTCTGTGCAAAACACCTATTTTGGGATACCCTGATGCAAGCAAAGAATTTATAGTTGACACAGACGCAAGTGATATAGGACTTGGCGGTGTGTTGTCTCAACGTAATGGTTACCAAGAGGTCGTGATAGCGTACTTCAGCAAGTCGTTGTCAAAACCGGAAAGGAACTACTGTGTCACAAGACGCGAATTGCTAGCTGTGGTAAAGTCGTTGCAGCATTTTAGCAAATATCTTCTGGGGCGAAAATTTCACTTACGAACTGACCATGCTGCACTAAAATGGCTATTGCAGTTTAAAAATCCAGAAGGACAAGTTGCGAGGTGGATTGAACTACTGCAGGAATACGACTTTGAGATCGAACATCGTAACGGGAAATCTCATGGCAACGCAGATGCATTGTCAAGAAGACCTTGTCCTGAAGATTGCAAACATTGTACTAGGCAAGAGAGTAAGGAAGTGGTATCCGTGAGGATGCTCAGGGCAGACCACCTCAGCAACGAGTGGAAGGACAGCTTACAACGTGCACAGCAGGAAGATCCGGACATCAAGCCGATCCTGGAATGGATGAAGGTCAGTGCTCCCAAGCCCAAGTGGAGCGACGTCTCAGCGATGAGTTCGACCACTAAAAGCTACTGGGCCCAGTGGGACAGCTTGCTGCTTCAGGATGGAGTTCTGTGCCGTAAATGGGAAAATGTTCGGGGAGACAGCTGTCATTTACAAATGGTTGTCCCTAAAGCTAAAGTACCGGATGTTCTACAGCTGTACCATAATGATTATTCAGGAGGCCATCTGGGAGTTAAGCGAACTCTACTGAAGATCCGAGAACGGTTTTACTGGGTCCACTGTCGAAACGATGTCGAGGACTGGTGTCGCAAATGTACAAATTGTGCGGCTGTAAAGGGACCTCAGACTCGTAGTAGAGGTGCATTGAAGTTGTACAATGTGGGCGCACCATGGGAGAGAATAGCCATTGACGTGGCGGGGCCGTTTCCGGAGAGTGAAAGCGGTAACAAGTATTTCATGGTTGTGATGGATTACTTCACTAAGTGGCCAGAAGTCTTCGCCATTCCAAATCAAGAAGCTTCAACAGTTGCAGATAAACTAGTTCATGAAGTCTTCTGTCGTTTTGGAGTACCTTTAGAGATTCACAGCGATCAAGGAAGGAATTTTGAGTCTCAAATATTCCAGGAAACTTGCCGAGTTATGGGTACTCATAAAACAAGAACGACTTCTTATCACCCGCAATCTGATGGAATGGTGGAACGATTTAATCAGACATTGGAGAGGTACCTAGCAAAAGTTGTAGACAATCGGCAACGAGATTGGGACAAGCACATACAACCGTTTTTGTTGTCATATCGAAGTTCTGTTCACGAAAGTACAGCAGTGACACCAGCTTTCGCAAACTTTGGAAGAGAATTACGGCTGCCTGCGGACCTGATCACCGGGATACCACCTGATGCCCCACGCAGTATAACCGATTATGCAAATGACTTGCGGAACAAAATGAATGACATTTATGAGCACGTCAGACAATCGGGCCAGCAAATGTCTGAGAAAATGAAAACCCGGTACGACCGCAAAATGAACAATAAAGGGTTCAACGAAGGTTCATTAGTGTGGTTGCACAATCCAGTCCGCAGCAAAGGGAAATCTCCTAAGCTTCAAGCTAAATGGGACGGCCCGTACCGGATTGTAACCAGGATCAACGATGTGACCTACCGGATACAGAAAGGCGCAAGAGGGACTCCTAAGATCGTCCATGTGGATCGCTTGGCGCGTTATTATGGGACCGATAATGCTCGGGACGAGCATGTCTTAGGAGGGGGCAGTGTTGCATGAATAAGTCAACTAGCGCCATCTAGTGTCAGCAACAAGAGCGAGGGGAGCTTGGCAGTAAATGACATCACAAACCTTTCGACCGACAGCGCCACCCGAAGAACTAAGTTTCTAGAAAATCTATACTCGAATTCTCGGTACCTTACGCGTGTTTGCTTGAACATTCCGGATATTTTGCTAATTTAAATAAATAGGTGGCGCAGGATGCGATCGAGGCAGAGTGAACTCGGCGACACAAGCGAAGCTTCGGAGTGGAATTAAGTGAATTAGTGTGTTTAAATTATTAGTGTTTTAACTTTAATTGTGTAAAGTAAATTAAAGTGTTAATTTAGGTAATTTTATCGGCAATTTTTATTGTCACGAACCTCAAGCTCGTAACAATATTATTAACTTACAACAAAAATATATGTATGTATATATGTTCATACAAATCTATTGATAAATGTTATAATTTGAAAGTTTTCTTCTTTATACCTAGATATAAATTTTTTTTATTTAAATGAGAAAATATAAAATAATAATTTAAAAGACTTCAACGCATCTCATATCGCTTCGTAGATGTCAAAGTCCACATGATACTGACCCAGACTTGTGATCGTTTATACATGGTGGGAGACCTATTAAAAAACCTTTTCTTTCATATGCGATTTAGAGTAGCAGTGATCTTCCAACTTTCTAAAATGGCAATTGGGCTATAGATTACTACATATTCTTCGATGTTCAATAGTCAAATCGCCAATTTATGCTATGATAAACGTGTAAATTCTGTCTAAAAAAGTACTCTGTGATCCTGTCTAAATACTAATAATGTAACTTGAAGCTTATAAAATAAATAAAATCCTATTCACTAGATAGTGAAAGCGATATCTGTTGGCGTTCATAGGAATTTAAACATAAAATTGTCTGACAAAGCTTTCATGGGGTTTTGCTTCACTCACTAATAGATGTCGCCAACAGTTTCTTAAATTTATACATAAAAATAATATTCTTTAGCGCTCCTATTTTCTTATTGTATTTTTGTTGTAGCGCATAACGGAGAATCGAAAAATATGTAAATAAACATTAAAATTCCCATTTAAATACTTTGCAAATGGGCAAATAAATATCAAAAGCTTGATTTACGGAGACGGGAAAGGATTTGACATAATTTTATGGTTTCATTTAATTTCTGTAGTGATAAATTAAATTAATTTACTTCATTGTTCAAAAAAAAAACTATTTATCAATTTATAGATTATTCTTACCTTTGTAGGCCTATTTTGGATTTCCTTGTTGTCCTTGTCCAACTTCACGCCGAAGTGAAAAATTTTTAACATGTAAAATACGTATATTTTTATCGTTTTTATTTTGCCCGATAAGTTAATCTCTCACATTACTGAATACGCCAATCTTTTGGCGGAAACTGACGTGACGTTGTACTGAATTTTATAAAAAGTACTCTGTGTACTGAATTGATGGTACAGAGCTACAGAGTATAAAAGCATTCTTGTAACTTTTCACATAATATTTGGGCTTATTAAAAAAACATAACTGTTTCCTTTCCAGTAAAAATTATGAAAACCATTTTGTTAATGTCTCTATTATAATTTATTCTTATTTTACGTAATCAGTTCTTTGTTTGCTCAGTAGTGACACCTATAAAAATAAATGTGATTATTTTCTACCCGTCACTGCTAGATGGCGCTACACGAATAATACTTATGAACAATCACTGTGAATTAATAAGTAATAAAAAAAGATTTATACATATTGCCGGCTATTAAATTAAATTGGGTTTGGAAATGCCTTTGTCCTTATAACTTATACTATAAGGCGGTGATATAAATTGATGGCAAGAGATTTTGCTTCAGAGCGTTTTATTTTTTTCATACCGTGGCGTAGGTAGGTACCTACATCGCTGACATTTTTATAAAAGTAACAATGATGGGCGAGTAGAACCTCCGTATTGAGCGTTACGTAGAATTTCCATTATATCTATAGGTTGGTGGATCTATCTGTAGGTTTGGAAGAGGCTTTTTTAACCCCACCAAGACGAGGGTCCTCCAGGCAAATCTTCACCATGCAGCAGCTGCTTCTGCCGTGGTGGAGGTCTGCTTTGCAGAGGACAACATTGACCTCGCTCTCATACAAGACCGTAACAGTAGTAAAAGCAGTAGACCCAGAGCTTGTATAATTTACGATAATAATATGAATTAAGCTGTTCCAGAGTACTGCAATGATGACCTGGCCTTCATAAATCTCAAGGGATGACAGGGGCCTATAAGCATTTGCTCAGCCTATCTTCCTGGAGAGAACTCAAGTCCTACCATCGAGTTAGAGCGAGTGGCGGAGTTCGCCCGAAAACACAACGCCGAACTTGTGGTGAGTTGTGATGCTAGTGCTCACCACACAGCCTGGGGAAGCACTAACATCAACGAAATAGATGAGTTACTTTATGATTTTCTCATCTCCAACCGCCTGGTAAGCCTAAACTTAGGGTGTACATCAACCTTTGTTACGCGTGCTAGGCAAGAAGTGTTAGACATAACCTTTGCTACCAATAACATGTCCAGCCGGATAAATGACTGGCATGATAGTAGCGAAAACTCGATGTCTGATCACAAGCACATTAAGTTTGTGATTGGAGCATCACCACCCTATGAAACCATTGCTTTTAGGGATTCAAAAGCGACCTCCTGGTATATTTACAGAGATAGCCTAAGGAGGAATTTGGAAACGTTTCCTAAAAGCATCAAAACGATTGAAGGTCTGGAGTTAGCGACGGAGACAGTAACCGTAGGTATCCGTGAAGCCTTCGAGGACAGTTGTCATGTCAAAACCAAGACCTCAACACAAAAAGTTCCTTGGTGGATTTCTTAGCTGAAAGAAGTTAGGGAAAATATCAAGAAACTATTTAACAGGGCTAAGAAAACCAAAGAGTGGGATATTTATAGTGCAGCCCTAACTGAATATAATAAAGAAATTAGGAAAGCCAAAAGAGCATCGTGGAGTAAGCTGTAGAGAAGGAGAAGTTTAGTCTTTGCCTCGCAGTGCAAGACTACACAAAATGCTATCGAAAGTAAAACCTAATCTCCCGTGAGGACTAAGATGGAATGCCTCGTTTCCAGTAAAATGGGTCTCCGGTTCTCTACACTTACCATACGAAACACAGTAGCGCTAAGCTCCCACTTTACGCTGGTATTCTGTGAGAGCGTGATCCTTCTTCGATGTGATCCATTCGTACAACAACTATACTACGAGTAGTAATATAGCTGCAGTATGGCTCTACCACGATCTTAACAAATTTCATTCAAAATCTTCAAGGTTGTAGGAATCGTTTTGTGGCTAGACGTGCGGATGAGTGGGTTCCACCCCCTTTCCTATTTCTGCTGCCAAATGTCTACTTACACTACTCTACTTGAACTGCAGTGTTCCGGTCCTAAGGATATAGGGAGTCAGTATAATTACAGGTCATGCAGCATTCTATCTCAGTCGTCAAAGGTGACCACGCATCAGTAGCCTTCTTTGTTTCAAGCTGTCTGCAGGAGTCCATGGGCTGCAGTAGTCACTTACCTGAAGGTGGCTAAGCAGTGAATTGCATCGTTGAGGGTCGCCAGTTCGAACTCCGCACTGAACAAGTATTTGTACGGCTTACAAATAATTGTTCCAGGTCTGGATGTTTGTCCTCGTCCAATTTATATATGTAAACTGCCTCCACTATACAGGAGAAAATCCCAATGAAATAATGTAATCCATTAAAGTAATATAGACTATGTAATAGACACCAGCGAACAAAATCTGTGCTGCTGTGCGAGGTGTGTGGCCGTATACACATAGTAACCTTTTTTGTGGTACAGACTACGTAAATTTGATACCGCGGGCTTTTACGCGTAACTCGTAAAACCAAGTCTCGTCGCCTTTTCTATTACGTAAGACGATTTAATATAAAAACATAACATATAAACACTCACACCTGTCACCCAGAAGGGTAGACAGAGACTACGGAGTTCCATTTGGTACGATCCTGAAACACCTCTCTCGCCTCCATTACATCCATATATCTACGCATACACACTCGTCGGTTAAGGGTACTCCTAATCTGCCCCATTATCAATATATCACCATTTGGTCGATAAATCTTCGTCTAGGAACCCCGACTCTGCCGTTCACATATGCAATATAAATTTGCTTTGTCATTCTTTACTCGTCCATTTTTTCCAAACTACCGAACTATGGGTTCGAATCCGCCATTCGACTACTGGCATTAACCACTCGAAACACAAGCAATTTGAGCTTACCACGAGTGGTTAAGGGGAATATTAGTTATGTTTATAGCATTGTTAATATTCTTTAAAAAAAAAACGAAGCATTCCTTTCTTAATCATGGTCACAACATCATCTTACACACCACATTATGTACTACGCGTATAACATCAATGTGTAGGGGTACCGTACCATCAGAGCGTACTGTATGTTAGTTGGTCACTTTACTTTAATTTAAAAAAATTAAAGCGAATTAAGATAAAACCAAAAAGGATTTATCAAGACGTATTTATTTTTATTACATAAATTAAAAAAATCAGGTCACAAGAAGAGTGTTCCGTTTAGAAGTTCCGGTGGGGAAGCCCAGCTGGCAACCACTGGCTAAACAGAAGGAGGTCACTTTGATCTGCGAAAGGGGATGATATGATTAAAAACAGTTGCCATCGTTTTAAACCACTTCTGCTGCGGCGAAGACTGTGTGCTCGTTTGTCACCCTTATTGTATACTTTTCTAATTCAAACAGTCTAGTTTTGCAGACCGCATTATTTACACTTATACTTCTGTCTTTATAATGTAATAATGTCTCAATGATGACTTGCTATCTGCGCAGAACACGTAATAGTTCCCGAGTGTACGCGCAAGCACAGGTGCACTCTCTACTCCCTCACTCTCATAGTTCGATGGGACAGTAATCCGACACGACTGGAGAGAGATCAGGCGCTGAACCAACGGCTTCATATGATTTCCGAGGCACACACTTTTTCTTTCACTGATAGAGTATACTTTTAAGATAGTTACATATAAATTTCCAAAGATCCCATAATAATAATTGAAATGGTTAAGACAATCCAACTGTTAAAAAGGTCAGTTTAAATACGTTTCCCTCATCGAATATAAAGATAAAAAGGTAAATTTGACAAGTGGTAAAATTAAAAAATTGTGCAACCGATTTCAATATAAAAACTTTGACAGAAATGACTGTGGTATAAACCCCTTTAGACCCCTTTTGAGAGTACAGGTGTCAGGTTATATTGTGTGATTGCGTAAACAATATATAGAGAATAGCAGCAATCGGTTTCGATTTGCTGGCCTTTATTGAAGAGTTCCGTTGTTTGTCTTCGTAACTCATCATCAGATCTTTGCGAAATTTTTAAGGGGTCATTTTGGAATAAAATCTTTATAACAAAAGGAATTTTGCAAATCCGTCTAAATAACGAGCATACGTAGAAAAAATATAAACATCATCCGAATTGAGAACCTCCTTCCTTTTTTAATTCGGTTAATAACTCACAAGAACAGTGTTTCCACCGTTGTTGATAGAGAGGGGGCCGTCGGAGTCTCCGCCACAGGTACTGGTTCCGCCCGCGCCGCTGGTGCACAGGGTCGAGGACAAGACGGTAGATGATCCGTAGACTATCCGGCACAACGTGTGGTCGATCACCTGCAGGTTTACGTAGCTCAGGAACTGGTTGCTGGAGATACCGGCGGCTGCGAGTACAGTAACACAATGAATTATGCGACCAATAGTTTTTAAACTGAATGCTTCATTAAAATTGTGATTTGAAACTCCACGAAACGAAAAAGCGACACTAAAAAGAGACAATCATATACATCTATAAGATTTAGCTTGCGAGATAATGAGATAGAATACAGTATACAGTATCACAGAATTAATAATAGTACTACGTACAGAAGTTGCACTCCTTTGATGTTGGCTGCTTGCCGACGTTTAATAGCCTACATAGTAGGCCGAATAGGCTGAATACCGATAAATGGCCGAATATTCTTGTAAGTCTAATAAATAATGTAAATTTTTTATCTTTATTTATATGCATAATTCTTCTGTCAGTGTGTATGTGTCTTAACATCTCCTAAACGGCTTGACCGATTTTGATGAAATTTTTGTTTGTGGTTCAAGAAAGCGAAGTCGATTCGGGAATGAATTACAATCACAATTGGACCAGATAGATGGCGCTGTTGCCGTGATATAGAAATGACCCGTGCGGAGCCGAAGCGAACAGCTAGTACTTTTATACAATATCTAGTCGTGGTACTTACAGTCGCTGGTTCTTGCGAAGCCGGCAGCTTGCGCACAGGTGCCCGTAAAGTCGTGGTTCAACAAGGACCCAGGTTGATGGGCCGGATGTTGTCTGCGAAGCGAAGCATTTTGATTAGATAATGATTACTTAAGTTTCTTCGAAAACTACATATTTAAATGAAACTATATTTTATGGATTTTATCGTGTATATTGACATATATTCCCGACGTTCTGAGAACTTTATAGCATCCTAGACCAATAAAAACCCGCGTAAAAAAACACATAGCTGATGTGAAAAATCCACGCTCCAGGAAGTTGTAGTCTGTGAACACGTACAGGATCGCACCCGTCACTACATCAGATTTGATAGACCACAAATCCTCGCTAAAGAACACCGATTCCTTCCAAGAATCATTCGCGAGGTTATTGAAATCAAAAAACATCCTAATTTCAATAGAGAAGATGGCTGGGTGCTGCCATCTGTTTGGAATCCTATGATTAATAAAATTAAATCCCAACCCAAACACACAACTGCTAGACTTCAAGATACTACAAGTTCATACTGCGTAGATCAGACCAAAAACTAATAACTTTAAACTAAAAATAGCCGTGATTAACTATGCCATTGGGATGTCAAGCATCTCATTCCTCAGTCATCCGTGACCATGGCTGCTGTGAAGTGCTCGAAACACCGGGAATATAAAATAAGTTAATTTAAGCGCAAAAATTATTTTATTCAATTTAATCCATACTTTTTAATATTATAAATGCGAAAGTGTGTTCCTTTGTTTGTTTGTTTGTTTGTTTGTCCTTCTTTCACGTCGCAACAGAGCGTCGGCATGGCATTGTTTTTGGTATGGGGATAGTTTGGTGACTGTAGAGTGACATAGGTTATTTTTTCCGCGGAAAACATCTCATTTCCGTGGGAAAATAGAATATGTTGCAAAAGTTTGTCCTTTCACGTCGCAACAGGGCGTCGGCATGGCATGAATTTTGGAATGGGGATAGTTCGGTAGCTGTAGAGTGACATAGGCGACTTTTTTCCGCAGAAAAACATCTCATTCCCGTTCCCATGGGAACTATTCTATTTTAAATTTCCCACGGGAATAGCCTATGTCACTCTACAGCCTCATCACTAATCACAGGTTAGTTGTAATCGGACTGATGGACAAGGCGTGTCGATTTTGTAGCGCTTTAAAATGGAAAGATGAGACCGCATGCATGTGCTGTTGCCAACCCGATGGCAAAGTGTCTCTTCCGTTACTTGGGGAACCAGAAGAACCTTTGAAAACTCTCTTTTTATATGATGTTAATGAGTCACGACGCTTTTTAAACAGGATCCGGAAATATAACTCATGCTTTCAAATGACGTCCTTCGGATTTGACCGGGAAATAATAATGCCGGGATTTTCGCCTACATTTACGGTGCAAGGGCAAATTTATCATAGAATAGTTTCACTTTTTCCAGCTGAAAATGAACAGCATAAATTTTTACAAGTATATTTTATGGGTGACGAAGAAATTGAGGTAGACCGTCGCTGCCAATTTATCCAGGGAGTTGAGAGAGACACAGTGTTCAAAATTCAAAGATTCTTGAATGAACGTAACATTTTAGTCAAAGCATTTAAAACTGCTTTAGAAAACCTACCTGAAGAGGATTATAAAGTCGTCATTCACGCAGATCAGACCCCTCGAGGAGAGCATGAGGGGCGCTACAATGCACCTTTGATAAACGAAATAGCAGCCGTAATTAGTGGTGATCAATTTTCTTCACGAGACATTGTCTTGCGAGCACGTGATGATACGTTGCAACGGGTAGCCGATACACACAAGTTTTATGACGCTCTGCAATACCCATTGATTTATTGCAAAGGAGAAGAGGGTTATCATTTCAAATACCACTCATTAACCCGGTCACAAAGAAGCCTACTCCGAACAAAAAAGTATCATGTATGTATTTTTATGCGTATCATATGATGTTGCGAGAAAATGATTTTAACCTTTTAGACAATAATTTCATAAATTTTTGGTAGACATGTATGTGAAGGTAGAAAATGAACGCCTCCGTTATATATCTTTAAATCAAAAAAAGCTGCGCGTTGAGAATTATATACATTTACAAGATGCAGTTTCTAGCGACGCCAATGTAAACCCCAGAAATTTAGGTAAAATGGTAATTCTGCCGTTATCATTCGTTAACAGTCCCCGCTACCTACATGAGTACACACAAGACGCATTCGCCTATGTACGAGCTTACAGAAGACCTGATCTCTTTGTTACTTTTACTTGCAATCCGACATGGAAACAAATAACCGAGGAGCTAATGCCAGGCCAAAAAAGTGACAAACACGATTTTGTGGCTAGATTAAAAGTACAAAAATTAATGTATGTAATACATAAGGAAATAAAACAAAAGGAAAATTTTCGGAGAGGTGCAGTGCTTCATGTATTCAATTGAATGGCAAAAAAGAGGATTACCGCATGCCCACATTCTAATATGGCTTAAAGAGAAGTTGCGGCCCAGCCAAATAGACGACATAATAAGCGCCGAGATTCCGAATCCTGAGCAAGATAAAGAATTGTATGATACCAGCGTCCGAAATATGATTCACGGTCCATGTGGAGCACGAAATTCAATATCAACATGTATGAAAGAAGGAAAATGTACAAAGAAATTCCCTAAACAGCTATTAAAAGAAACAGTGCACAATGACAATGGCTACCCTTTTTACAGACGCAGAGCTCTCGAAGATGGTGGCAGGAAAGTTACAATCAAATCTCGCTCTGGAGCATTCGAAACCTTAGATAACAGCTGAATTATCCCATATTCGCCCATTCTATGTAAAATGTTCAATGCCCACATTAATGTATAAGCACACTGTCCGCGCAATCAAGTATATCTGTAAGTACATAAATAAAGGAAGCGACCAAGCAATATTTAATCTCAGGAGTGAAGGTGAGGCAAATCCCGTTAATGAAGTACAGACCTTTTAAGCAGGGCGTTATGTCAGCAGTAACGAGGCATCGTGGCGTCTCCTTGGCTTCCCTTTACATGAAAGGCACCCAACAGTTACTTACCTTGATGTGCACTTCGAAAATGGAGAGCGTGTATATTTCACCGAAAGAAATTTCCATGAAAGAATTGCATCATCGCCAAAAACTACACTAACAGCCTTCTTTCAACTTTGTCAAACCGATCCTTTTAAAAACGTTGTAATATTCTGAAGTCCTCCGCTATTATACTTGAAACACATCTAGCAAGGAGTGGAAACGCCGTATTCAAGGCGCGCCTGTTGCAAATTGGCCCGGTGTAAAGTCATCAGATACCCTTGGTCGTGTGTATACCGTCCATGTAACTACTTTTGAATGTTTCTGTTTAAGATTGCTGCTGCACCATGTTCGGGGTCCTACAGGATATAAAGACCTTAAAACTGTCAACGGTCAGAAATGCGCAACTAATAGAGAAGCATGTGAAGCTCTGCATCTTATAGAAAACGATAATCACCGGGATAAACCATGGAGGAAGCTGTGCAATGCCTATCTTTATGCAACTCTCATATCATCTTGCGGGCTATCTAATGCACATGAATAATTGTGGGATAAATATAAAGAGTACATAGCGGAAGATATTTTGCGAAGGTTACAGCAGACACACGCGAACATGACATACAATGAACACATTTATAATGAAGCACTTGGAAAAATTTAAGATAAAGTAATGGCAATGGTAGGCAAAAAATAAGCGACTTTGGAATGATAAGCCCTCAGCGAACAACCGAAAATGAACTAAGTGATGAAATTATACGTGAAACAAACCACGATATACCAGCTTTGCAGCGGCAAGTAGCTGAATTTGTACCCCGCTTGCTTCCCGAACAAAAAACGAGTTTTTGACAAAGTATTAGGACAAATTGAATCTGGAAATGGTGCACTTTTCTTTTTAGATGCCCCTGGAGGAACTGGGAAGGCATTTTTGTTAAATTTATTATTAGCGCAAGTACGGAAAGATAAAAACATTGCTGTGGCCGTAGCTTCCTCCGGTACAGCCGCCACGCTGCTAAGCGGGGGACGCACTGCACATTCTGTTTTAAAACTCCCTCTAAATCTAGCCCAGGAAGAATCGCCGATCTGAAAATTTAGCAAAAATAGTGCACGAGGTATAATGCTATGAAAATGCAAACTTTTAGTGTGGGACAAAAGTACAATGTCGCATAAAAAAGCTGTAGAAGCACTAAATCGAATGCCCCAGGATTTGCGCAGCAATACCGATGTAATGGGAGGAATGGTGGTTTTACTGGCTGGTGACTTTCGCCAAACTTTACCTGTCATTCAAAAGGGCACACTTGCAGATGAAATTAAAGCATGCCTCAAGTCGTCTATTTTATGGAACAAGGTGACAAAATTCAGTTTAACTACGAATATGAGAGTGCATTTGTATAATGATATCAATGCTGGAAACTATTCTGACACACTATTAAAAATTGGCGATGGGCGGTTGGAAACGGATGCTGAGGGCTGCGTTAAATTGACGAGAAATTTTTATAATTTAGTACAGAGTCATTCCGAATTAATTGCGAGCGTTTATTCAGATTTAACGAACAACATGCATGAAGACAAATGGTTATGTGAAAGGGCGATTCTTGCACCAAAAAATGAGAGTGTTAACAAAATAAATTCAGATATATTAAGCGAAGTAGCAGGAGAAATAACAGAGTATTTGTCTGTAGACACAGTTATAGACACAGAACGGAGTACTTCATATCCCGCAGAGTTTCTAAATTCTCTAGAGTTGTCAGGTGTGCCCTCACATAAGCTTCAATTAAAATTAGGCGTACCAGTCATGCTAATGCGAAATTTAGATGCTCCTCGGTTATGTATTGGGACAAGGCTGCGTGTGACACATCTTGGATGGAAAATTATCGGTGCTACAATTTTGACAGGCGTAGTAAAAGATGAAAATGTTATTATACCACGGATCCCCATAATTCCCACAGATCTTCCTTCTCAATTCAAAAAGTTGCAGTTCCCTATTAAGTTCAGTTTGGCAATGAAAATGAATAAAGCGCAAGGGCAAACGTTACAGGTAGCGGGGGTCAACTTAAAAAAACCGTGCTTCTCTCATGGTCAGCTGTATGTAGCATGTTCGCGTGTGTCAAATGCCCAAAATCTCCACATTCTTTCCCCGAATGGAAAAACATATAACATTATTTTATGTTAAAATGAATGGAAAAACATATAACATTGTCCCACAGATCTTCCCTTTCAATTCACAATTTCCTATTTAGCTCAGTTTCTTTTCAAATACAAATGCTGCACCTCTGACGGACCTATTAAGCTCAGTTTCCCTTCAACTCAAAAGGCTGCATCTCTGACGGATCTTTTATTTGGCTCAGTTTCCTTTCAATTCAGAAAACTGCATCTCTGACGAATCAGTTTAGCTCAGTTTCTTTTCAAAAGTCTGCATCCCTAACGGATAATTATGCTCGGTTTCCTTTAATTAAAAAATATCTCATTTCCATTTGGAATAAACAGGCTATTTTCATGCTTTCCTATACGCTGCGTTTCAAAACATTTAAACAGGCTGAAGAATCAATTTTGCTCAGTTTCCTTTTAGCTGCATCTCTGACAAATCTATAAAACACAGTTTTCTTTCAATTCAAAAAGCAACGGATAGTTCATTTCCCAGTGATCATGCGGGCGAAGCCGCGGGTAACAGCTAGTTCGACAATATTTTAAGATAGATAAGACACGGACGGAGATTTTAAACTGTCACTACACGGTAAAAAATATATATTGACCGTTATAGGTGATCCATCCAGTCGTGATGAGGGCAATGTCGTTGTTAAGATTACTGGGGTTGTAGCTGGAGTGGACCTCCACGTCGCTGGTTACGATTCTGGTGCCGCCGTAGAAGAGGTGTGTGGAGCCCATTACGACGGTGAACTGTCTGGCCTGGTTGCGACCATCGAACCAGCAGTGGGCAGCCGTTACCAAGCGGGTGTTGGTCAAGAGAGAAGAGCCGCACACAGAGGTTTCGCCAGTGGTCAAACTAATCACCAGCCCACCCTAAATAAAGTATTTGTTCAATCATTGATTCATTAGAGTATATTGAAGTCCACTGCTGAACATAGATCTTGCCATGAGGGGGGTATTTGCCATACTTGCCGAACTTGGCTATAAATTTTTAACGTGGTTCCATGCTATAGCATATAGCTGTAGCACGAATTGGTCAGCCGAGGCAGGACCACGCTCTCACAGAATGAGAGCGTAAATAAAAAAGCACCTTAATGCTGCTGTATGCCTTAATATATGTGTAGATAATCGGAGTCTCTTTTTACTGCCAACGAGGCATTCTATCGCAGTTCTCAGAGCGTCTGCGTTTTGATTCTTAATCGAGGATAAATGTAGATGTCTATTGGCCACAGCATCCACCACCATTATCTTATAAAAAAAATTGCGCTTTACCATTTACAGTTGCGTCATCACTTACCATCAGGTGGGACAGTAGTCAACCACTGGTTTAAAATTTAGGGTAGTAGTTAAAAAGACAAGTGAATACTGTAAAAATATTTTTTTTTTTATATACAATACCACATTTTTTTATATTCATACATTTTCATCCGATTCTGAACTTTACAGTCAGATGGTACAAAATTTCTCGCTAGCTATTAATTGCTAGCTCCACTGCTGATCACGTGATCTCGCGTTTAAATTCCGGGTCAGGCCATTAAATTAGTATTTGGTTTCTTCTGTCGAGAAATTCTCAGTAGCAGACGAGAGTAAGGAAGTTGGCAGTGTTTCACTCCCGACTACTAACCCATCGGACCTTGACTGAATCTTCGTTTGGCGGACATTATTTTTATTATGAGCATAAATTGAACAAACTCACCATATGGGGGTAGGCTCCTAAAGAGGCCGGTGAGCCACCCACGATCCTCTAGCCGTCGAAGTCGGCGGCCAACTCTGACTGCTTGATGCGCTCGGCCAAGGAAATGCCCACATTCTCGTGGTAGTGCAACAGAATCGGTTCCTCGGCCAACACCAGCGCCACTAGGCAAGACAGAGCAGCCAGGAAGAGTTTCATTGTGGGAAGCTAAACGGACTTTCGCAGATTTTTCCACGTTATTGACAGATTCATATTTTAAGCGAGCGCTGGGTTGATACAGCCATTGAAGTCTCTTTATAGGGACTCCAATGCTTGTGTTAGGATCAACGGGGTCTACTCGGACTGGTTTGGCATCCATAAAGGTGTCAGACAGGGCTATGCGGCTTCCCCGTGGCTGTTCAACCCACATTATGGACAGTTGTTTGGAAAACTTGAAAGTTGAAGAATGCGGGTTACGAATGGGTGAGGTAACCGTCAAATGTGTGTGTATACCGATGATCAAGATATATTTGCATCGTCGGCGGCCAGGTTGCAAATGATGGCTAGGTACATTAATGAACAAGTCGTTAAAAGAAAGGCGAATGAAAGTAAACGCAAGTAAGAAGAAAGTTATGGTTTATGAAAGAGAAGAAAGTAAAACGATATGTGAAATAAGAATAGAAGGAGAGTTGGTTGAGCAAGTAGATGAGTTTTTATATATGAGATGTGCATTTAGCAGGGATGGGAGTTCTATCCCCGCCGGTATCAAATAATTTGTTAGTTGCAATTTCAAGTGCTGAATTACCACGTTCCCGGCGGTAAAGGAAAACTTCGTGAGGAAACCTGCATGTCTGAGAAATAAGAAAAAAATATTAGTATGTGAATTTGTCAACAGGCATTGGGATGACGCGACGTACACTTCCTTGTCCTAAGACCGTCTTAGAAATGAGAGGAGATCTGTGCCCAGCAGTGGACATAGATCACCTCCTCCCACTGTCCAATTCTAAAATTTTCTCCTAATCGTAAGGTTTTTTTTTCTATAGGATTGGGTGAGAAACGAGCACACAGTCCACCTGATGGTAAGTGTTTGCTGTGGCCCATAGACATCTACATCTATCCTCGATTACGAATCAAAATGCAGATGCGTTGTTACCCGTGAGATCTAAGATGGAATGCCTCGTTTCCTGTAAAAAGGGTCTCCGGTTCTCTACACTCACTATACGAAACACAGCAGAATTAAGCTTCTATTTTACGCTGGTGTTCTGTGAGAGCGTGGTCCTTCCCCGGTTGAGCCGACCCATTCGTGCTACAAATATACTACTAATATATCTGCAGCATGGCTCTACCAACGTAAAAACATAGAATAGTTACTTGGAAGATACCGCTTTTTAAAGATAACACTGCCTTATTGTAGAGGTATGCAATCTTATTTTTAATCGTTTTTCTACCTACATAGTCTTTTATCAGTATGATAAAGACAATTAATTTTTATCTGTTAAAATTAAATAATTACAATAAGAAATAAAAAATATTCATTTAGTTCAAAAAGTATACAGGTACTTTTATGTTACATACTTTTACACTAGGATTACCTGTGTCGTGAAGACCAGTCTCCCCATTTATCTAGAACTTAATGATTAGCCGATATTAGGTAAGAGTGGATTTCCCACATACAACACCGAAAAAAAAAGGTGTACACTTTAATGTTATAAGATGCGTGGGGCTATAAAACCAAAACTAGGAGGAGGACAGAGACAAAAACACAAAGTCGTATACAGTCGTGTACTGTGTGTCGTGAACTAATAAGACAAGAAACAAATAATCTTTGCCAATAATTATGAACTTATTAATTATAGTTTTAATGGTAATATTATATAAGTTATACTAAGTTTTAATTAAAAACACCGGAACTTAATATCTTAAGGTTTAGATTGTTTTTACTCGAGATTAAGTACTATAAATTAACTTACATATTTATCTTAAAAGTTTGCGTCTGCTGTAAACAAGATGGTAATATCGCTATTTATCAGAAGCTATGAGATCTTTCTCTTTGGTTAATGGATTCTCCCCCATATAACGACTCTTATAACGAGTTAATTCATCACTCTTATAGAAAAAAATGATAAATAAATAAAATAAATTATTTCAGATAAAAAGTCCATAAAGGTAACGTAAGGTTGTTGGTAACAATTTGCTTATAATTTAGTAAAATACATAATATAATGATTTCTTATATTTACGCGAACACTATACATGATTAAAACTACTTTTACGGATTTTATCGCGTTTATTTTTACTTTTTATTTACTTTTATTTTTAATTCCCGACGTTTCGGGCGCTTCCCAGCACCCATGGTCACGGGGGACTGAGGTGGCTGACGTCCCGATGTCATTGTTAAACCCGGAGTACCTTCAGCTTTTTTAATTATTGTTTATGGTCCGATCTATGCAAAATGAACTGACTATGTCCTGAGGTCTTGCAGTGGTATGCTTGGGTTTAGTTTTAATTTTATTGATTATAGGATCCCAAGCAGGTGGTAGTACCCAGCCTCCTTCTCTATTGAAATTAGGATGTTTTTTTAATTTCAATAGCCTCACGTATCATCCTTGGTAGGAATCGGTGTTCTTTCGCGAGGATTTGTGGTCTATCAAATCTGATGTAATGGTTGGGTCCGTCTAGGATATGATCACAAACTGCAGACTTCCCGGAACGTTGATGCTTCACATCAACTATATGTTCTTTTACGCGGGCCCTAATTGATCTTTTTGTTTGTCCTATATAAGAGAGACCACATTCACAATCAAGCTTGTACACTCCTGCATCTTGTAGAGGAATATGACACTTGACGGATATTAGGAACTGACTAATCTTCTTCGGTGGCTTGTAGAATGTTCTAATAAAAGCTCGCTTCAAGATATAGCCAATCTCGTCTATGACACCTCTGACATATGGTAGTACACCAAGCACACGCTCGACTGTGGCCGGCTTCACTCGGTCACTGTGACGTAGGCGCGGGACCCGAAGCTTGTTGTCGTGCAGAACTTGCTTTTGCTTGCTTTTCTCTGTTAACAGAGAGCACGAGGGATCTGTGACGACGTGTCAAGCGGTGCAACAATTTATAATTATCTATGAAGGTCTCGCAATCCTCACTATTTTTTATGATGTATGTGCCCAAAAGTGATTCTTTAGTTATATCATCCTGGCATTTGTTTGTTAATATTATTTTATGGTTGGCGTATATAATCCAATTTACAGGGTCGATGGACTGGATTTTGACATCCTCAAGATCAACGAGCCGAGGTTCGCATAGTGTGAGATTGTTTTGGAATTTCATCAGTTGTGCACATGTGTTTCTGGTATAGGATACCATGTTGGAGTTCATACACAGGAATTCATCCGCTGCTATTTCGGTGCACGGCCGAGAGACCGGTATGTATTGTGAACCTTTCATCAAAATGTAAGACGTTCTGTTTCTAAGTGCATCGAATATAGGTAATGGATACAATTTGTAATGATTGTAATTAAAACTACCAGTAAGTGGAACTTCCATCAAGTACGTAATCTGGTTTGCTTTCATGTAAGCTTTTATAATAATAGTTTTTTCAATCTTTATTAAATTCTCTACATTTACAGGGTACACTAGGTTATCGACTTTGGCAATATCATTAAGTATCACTAACAGTTCAGATGAATTAATAATTGATTGGTGTAATACTTAAATTTTACTAAAAGCCATAGTAGTTTCTATTTCTCTAAGTTTAAGGTAAATACTACGAAAGTTACTAATAAACATATTATACATGCCTAAAATATATGTGTTATAAATTGAATTATTTTCTTTGGTAGCTATGTATTTTACTATTCGTTCAATTCTTTTTAAGCGTTCATCTAATATTAGTTCATTTTCATGTAAAGTTTCTGTACTATTTTTCAAGCTATTCAGCATTTTAGAAACAACAGTGATTTTACTATCAATACTTAATTGGTTGTTCTTTAATTTAGATATAACGGAATCGTATTTAAGAGCATCTTCGTGATCTAAATTGCCGGTGATTGCTTTAATGACAGATCTTAGGGGATCTATAAGACCTCTTTGAAATCGATTGGATGGTACAAGTTGCTTAAATTTTTCAATAGTTAAATCGCAAGAATAACAAGCTTGGGTTTTCATGGCTTGGAATTCATAAGCATAAGCTTTATTTATATCAACTAACCTACTAAAATCTTTAACTTAATAATATTGAAATCTAAATTTTCCTTAATTCCTAATAACTTCACTTCTTTAACTATAAGCCACCTGCTTGTTTGCTTAAAAGCTTAGCCTTCTTTTACAGGAAGCAGGCCCGGCTTGCTGTCAATTTTTTGAAGCTGAAGACTGCGGGTCGAAGTATATGAGCCATAGTCAGGATAGCCACGCACCACCTGCGGAGGTCGTTTGAAATTTTTAATAGGGACTTTTGTATCCCGTTCACCTATTTTAACAGGAACGATATTACGTTCTGCAGGACCTTGAATAACAGCTTTCCTGTACCTAGGTTTGTCCTTACTTTTCCTAATATTGATGTCCTTTACGTACGCTATTTGCCCTTCGTTGAGTACTTACTACCTGAAGATCTCGCATTAGTTTATTGTTAAACTTTTTTCCAGAGTCGCAAGTTATCTTTTTAGGTATACCATAGAAATAAAAGTACTTTATAAGGGCTCGAACTACCTCAGGTGTGGATCTATTTGAGATTTCAAATGCTTGACCTAATTTACTAAAAGCATCGATTAAGGTAAGAAAATATATATTTTCTATAGAAAAAAGATGTATGAAAACTTCCTGAAAAGGGAGAATTCTGGGTCTGCGTTAATTGCAAAACCGGTTTAATTGGTTTTCTATCATATTTTGAAATTTTGCAGGTATGACAATTATTAATTACGGCCGAAACTGTTTCCAGCATATTATCCCAAAAGTAGTTCCTACGTATGCTTACCATCGGTCTTAAGGATATAGGGAGCAGTATAATTACAGGCCACGAAGCATCCCATATTAGTCCTCAGAGCTGAAAATTCATCTGTAGCCTTCTTTATATGAAGTCAGCTGTAAGTGTCCATGTGATACAGTAGTCATTTAATTTTACGTGGTAGACCCACGCTGCAGCTATATTATAGTTACGGGACGAATGTGTCGGCTCGATCGGGCAGTGGTCCTCCACGCTCTCACAGAATACCAGAGTAAAATATCAGCGTAATGCTGCTGTGTTTCGTAATGGGAGGGTAGAGAACCGGATACCCTAACACACTCATCGGTTAAGGGTAATCCTAAGTTGCCCCATTTTCAATATATCGCCAATTTGGTAGATAAATCTTCGTCCAGGGTTTCCCTTCCCGACTCTTCTGTTGACAACTGCAATATAAAATTGCTTTTTCACACTTTACTCGTTCATTTTTTCTACATGACCAAACCACCAAAGTATTCCTTTCTTAATCCTGGTTACAATATCATTTTACACACCACATTTTTCTTTTATCACACCACAATTACAAACCGTGTTTATTCAGATTTAGCCCTAACACACTCCTTAAAGACTGAATTTCTACTACATTTGTTTTATTTTCGTGCTTCTTCTGCCAAAATGAACTTTCACTATCTACCATAAAGTAGGGATTAACACAGCATTATGAATAGCGATTTAACATGTTATGTTATATCAATGTGTAACGGGTAACTTAAGGGGAAACGTAATATCACCGAGTACTTGTACGTTATTGTTGTTGGTCACTACTGTTTACTTTATTAAAAAAATTAAAGCGAATCAATATAAAACAGAAAAAAAGGTTTATCGAGACGTATTTATTTTTATTATATAAATTTACAACATCAAGTCACAAGAAGAGTGTTTTGTTTACAGACGGGACTGGATCCAGGAGACGAAGGAGGTAACTCTGGCGAATCCAGCGGGTAAACCAAGCTGACAACCACGAGCTGAACCGAAAGAGGTCACTCCGATCTGCGAAAGCGGATGATATGATTAGAAATAGCTGACATCGTTTTAAACCGCTGCTTCTGCGGCGAAGACTTTGTGCCCGTTTATCACCCTTATTGTATACTTTTCGAATTTAAACAGTCTAGTTTTGCAGTCCGCATTATTAAAAATTATACTACTGTCTTTATAATGTAATAATGTCCCGACGGTCACGGCGGCCAGTCTCAATGAAGACTCGCTATCTGCGCAGGACAGGATAATATTCCTGAGTGTATGCACAAGCACAGGTGCACTCTCTACTCCCTCACTCTCATAGTTCGATGAGACGACTGGAGAGAGATTAGGGGCTGGATCTACAGCTTCATGTGATTTCCGAGGCACACACTTTTTCTTTTACCAATAGAGTATACTTTTACGATAGTTCCATATGGATTTCCAAAGTTCCAATAATGATAATTGAAATGGTTTAGAGAATCCAATTGTTCGGAATGTCAGTTTAAATACGTTTATCTCATCGAATAAAAATATAAAAAGGTAAATTTGACAAGTGGTAAAATTAAAAAATTAGTGCAATCGATTTCAATATAAAAACTTTGACAGAAGTGAGGGTGTTTCGTGTTGTGCTGAACACGTCTGCGTACCCCTTTAGAACCTCTAACAGGCGTGGGGTTGTATTGTGTGATTGTGTAAACAATGCATAGATAAGCGATAGCATTTTTTGAGTTTTCCCTTGACTGTCTCCCAAACTCAACATCAGATGGGCGGCGGTAGTCATTTAACATCAAGTGAACCGTATGCTCGTTTGCCACCTCTTCTATAAAAAAAGTAATCAGATCTTTACGAATTACTCTTTCGAACAAAAAGCATTTTGCACAGCTGTCTATATAACGGCGTTATACTCGAACATATATATAAAAAATATTAGCATCCAAATTGAGAACCATCTTCTTATCTGAATTCTGTTATAAACTCACAAGAACAGTGTTTCCACCGTTGTTGATAGAGAGGGGGCCGCCGGAGTCTCCGCCACAGGTGCTGGTTCCGCCCGCGCCGCTGGTGCACAGGGTCGAAGTTACAACGGCGGACCCGAAGAACATCTGGCACACCGAGTTGGTGATCACCTGCAGGTTTACGTGGCTCAGGAACTGATCGGTGGTGATACCGGTGGCTGCGAACATAGTAAAGTAATTTTTTAAGTGAATACTTCATTGTAATTGTGATTTTAAACTCTATGAAACGAAAATACGACACTAAAAAGAAACAAATATATATACATATATATATATATATATATATATATATATATATATATATATAAAGACCGATTTGCACTTCGACAAATACAGTAGTGAGTTAACTTGCCAACCTGGCGACTTAAGAAGAAAATCTCGTTTGAACGGCAATAAGCGAGTTAAGTAGTAATTAACAATTAAGTTGAACAGGATAGCCGGCCGGGCTATTTCTTGGAGTTAAGTGCGAAGTGAGGGCAACACTCCAGCGCGTCTCACGCCACCCGCAACTAAACTCGCCGATCGTGTGCATAAGCGAGTTTAGTTCAGTGCATAGGTTGACAAGACGCAAGGTTTGCGCGCCAAAACGTATAATTGTACTTTTATAATTAAACTCACCACATTTTGTACGGTACTGTTTATTAAATATTAATACGTTTTATATTGAGTTTTAATAATGAAATGGATAGAAGACATCACAACATATAAATTCGTACAGGATTTAGAAAAGGAATGTTTATACAATAGTTGAAGTTCAAATTATAAAATTAAACCTACGAGGTGCTGCAATCATTAAAATTCTTGAAAAACTTCTTTAACGACAACCAGGAATATTTCTCTGACTATATCATTTAATTCTTGACGTAACCTTAGATCGATCTTAAACGAAAACAAGAAAAATTCTGTAATATTGAAACGTCATACTCCAACGAACTCTTTGAAATAAACTCGCCACGAAGACATTCTTTGAATGCTACTGCCCACTTAACTTTTACTGTCAACTGCCCTGTAACTAAACTCGCTACTGTACTTGTCGAAGTGTAAATCAGTTTTAAGATTTAGCTTGAGAGATAATGAGATAGAATACAGTATCACAGAATAAATAAAAGTACTACGTACAGAAGTTGCATTCCTGTGATGTTGACTGCTTGCTTTATTTTTAATTAAATAAAACGCGCGTTCGGTATGCGGCTGAATAGAATAAAAGTAGTCGAATACCGAATAATAGCCGAATATTCTTGTAAGTCTAATAGATAATGTAAGTTTTATATCTTACTAACTTACTTACATACTTATCTTCACGCACAATCCCTAACGGGGTAGCCAGAGAGAACAGATCGCCAAGTGTCACGATCCTTACATACCTCTTTCGCTTCTTTCAGGTTCAGTAACTTCTTCATACATGCACGTCTAGGTATCCGAGTACTCTTGATCCTCCCTTCTTCGAGCAATTTGCTCACATGGTCTTCGAAAGTTAGTCTCGGTCTACCTCGACACCTTTTAATATTTACTTTCGCTCTATATATTTTCTTCACCATTCGGTCTTCACTCATTCGTTCAACGTGCCCAAACCATTGGAGTACTCCCCTATCAATTTTTGTGATAAGGTCATCTTTCAATCCTGCCATATTGCGAATCTCTTCGTTTCGCTTTCGGTCGGCTATGGTAACGCCACACATTTTACGAAGAGATCGCATCTCCACTGCATTCAACTTGCTTTTATGCTTCTTCTGGCATACCCAGGTTTCGCTGCCATATAACAAAGTCGGTACCAACACTGCTTTATGTATTGCAAGGCGTGCACTCTTCACCACGCCTAGCCTTTTTACTAATGCATTCAGGGCACCATTGACTTTGTTTCCGGCAGCGACACGCCTATCCACATCTAAATCACATCTTCCATCCCGGCTGAAAGCACTCCCCAAGTATACAATTTCATTTACCTGTTCTAGACATTCCTGATTTACCCATATTTCACATTTCGTTCTCTCTTCGTCCTTTTCAAATACCAGAACCTTAGTTTTATTAGCATTCAAACGGAGACCTTTAATTTCACATTCCTCTTTCATACACGTGACTAATGCCTGCAGTTCTGCTTCTGATGGTGCAATAAGCACTGCATCATCAGCATACAGCAGACAATTAACTTTTATGTCAAACAGCTATTTTTCGGCTTCTGGAAACAGCTGTCGAGATACAGTATGAACAGCCAGGAAGACATGACACAACCCTGTTTTACGCCCGCTTGGACGCTAAACATGGGTGACAGGTCATGCCCTACCCGCACACAGGCTTTACAGTCATAGTAAAGTGACTGCACAGCCCTTAACAATCGACCATCCACACCATATCCCGGCAACAGTTCCCACATTTTCTTCCTTATAACCTTATCAAATGCTTTCTCCAGATCCACAAAAGCACAGAAAATCCTCTGGTTAACACTCAGAAGCTTCTCCGTGATCATGCGGAGAGGAAAACATTTGATCCGTGCATCCTCTTCCAGGTCTAAATCCGCATTGTGCCTCCCATAAGAATCTTTCCGATTTCTCTTGCATCCTACGTGTCAAAACCTTCGAGTAAACTTTACTTGCTAAACTGGTCAAGCTGATCGCCCGATAGCACCCGCAGTCAAAATGTGAACATTTACCTTTATATAAAGGCACAATGACCGCGGATCGCCAATCATCCGGGACATCTCCCGTCCGCCACCACAAATTGCACAGCAGATGGAAGCTACCCCAGACGCGAGGCCCACCGTACTTGACCATTTCAGCAGTAACTTTGTCTAGTCTCGCAGCCTTACCACATTTCAAACTTCGAATCGCACGTTCAATCTCTTTCGTGCTGATGACCTCAGTGTCATCGAGGTCCGTATCTGGCGTGCCAGTCACGGCGTCACCCCCGGATCCTTCACTAAGATCATGATGCGTGTCATTTCTCTATAAAATTCACTCCATCGTTGCATGACGTCCGATTTTTCTGAGAGGACGTCATTGGTTCTCAAAAGCACTTTGTTCATTCTTAAGGCTGTCGCACACTCCGGGACCTTCCAACCTCTTTCCAGAAGAGTTTGGAGTTTTCCTTAAAGTTGTGCGACAACCTCTCGTCCGCTTCTATTCTACACCTTTCACGTACTTCCTCAATCAATGTTTTCGCATGAACTTTCTGCAGCTTGTATCTTTCTTTCATCTTCTCTCTCATATGCTTATCGTTACTAGAGGCCAAGTAGTCTAACCATGCTTTTTTCTTCTTTTTTACAGCTTCTCTCACTTCATCATTCCACCATGCATCTCTTCTTTTACTACTACCTCTTTTTGTCGTTCCACATACTTCTTCCGCTGCACTTACCATTCCATCCCTAAGGTTCTGCCATGTTCTCTCCACACATTCTTTCCTGCCATCGATGGTGTCAAGCTTTTCGGCTACCCTCGTGTGATATTTGTCCCTAGTATCCGCTTCCTGAAGCTTCCAGCTTCGGATGCGACAGACCGACTGTGGTTCTGTTACTGCCGTCCGGTAGCGCCAACCCGCGAACAAACCCCTAAATCTAGTAATTACTAGATAATGATCCGTTCCCAGGTCAGCACCCCTGAACACTCGTGTATCCATCACCTGTTTTCGCAGTCGGTTATCCACCAGGAACAAATCAATCATACTTCTCTCATTCTTTCTTTCTCTAGTGTACATATGGATTTTCCTGTGATTAAACATAGTGTTTGTCATAAGAAGACCCTTTTCCTTGCATACAGCCAGTATAAGCTTGCCAGCATCATTAACCCTTTCTCGCCAAACTTTCCAAGCACCGACTCGTATCCTGGTCGAGCGATACCTACCCATACATTCAAATCACCACATACAACAGTTTTTTCGTTTCCCTTAACAAATCTAGAACTTCTCTTACATTCTCCCAAAACTCCTCCAGCTCAGCCCTGGACGACGAAGCTACCCGCGCATAAACAGCCAAAAGGAATAACGTCGTCAGTCCCATTTTGAAGCGAACCCAGAGAAGTCTTGAGTTCACAACCTTGTATTCAGTCATAAGATCGACCAACCGGGACGACAACAGCACTCCCACTCCCTGGCAGGCGTTCTCATTTTCCGGGACTCCGGACCATATAGCTAACGTCCCGCCAGGGAGCTCTTCAGTACCACTGCCTTTCCGTTTGGTCTCCGACATACACACGACATCTAATTCTTTCATTCGTCTTATCTCTCATGCCCCCTCTAACATTACTCGTTTGCATGGGTGCGCAGCTGTGTAGAATTGCAGCCCTGAAAAGGGCTGGCAGTTTTATATCTTCATATATATATATATATATATATATGTGTGTGTGTGTGTGTATGTATATTCTTCAGTCAGTGTGTGTGTGTCTAAACGTCTCTTAAACGGCTGTACCGATTTTGATGAAACTTTGTTTATGTGGTTCAAGAAAGTGTAGTTGATTCGGGAAAGGCTTGCAATCACCATTGGAGTGGTACACTCGGTAAGTGGCGCTGTTGCAGTAATCTAAAAAATCATCCGTGCAGAGCCAGGGCGAACTGCTAGTAGTTTCATATAATATCTGGTCGTGATACTAACAGTCGCTGGTTCTTCCGAAGCCAGCAGCCTGCGCCCAGGTGCCCGCGAAGTTGTCGTTCAACAAGGAGCCAGAGGGCAGGTTGATGGGCCGGATGTTGTCTGCGAAGCGAAGCATTTTGATTAGATAATGATTTCTTAAGTTTCTGCGAAAACTACACATTTAAACGAAACTAAATTCTACATATTCCCGATGTTTCGAGAACTTTATAGTATCCTGACCAATAAAAACCCGCGTAAAAGAACACATAGCTGATGTGAAGATTCCACGCCCCGGGAAGTTGTAGTCTGTGAACATGCCCCCGTCACTACATGAGATTTGATAGACCACAAATCCTCGCTAAAAAAACACCGATTCCTTCCAAGGATGATTCGCGAGGCTATTGAAATCAAAAAACATCATAATTTCAATAGAGAAGATGGCTGGGTGCTACCATCTGCTTGTGATCCTATAATTAATAAAATTAAATCCTAACCCAAGCACACAGCTGCTAGACTTCAAGATACTATAAGCTTATAAGCTTTTTTTTTCTTAGTACAATTTTTGTTTTACATATAAATTAAATTGTCACCTATATCGAAATAATACATTATGATCCTAAGATCTACAATATATGTAGCGCTCAATTACAAATAATGCTCTTATTTATATCTCATGGGGTGGAGACCTGATGATTTGTAATATAGGCATTTTATTGCCTATCTCAAACACCAGTTCTTCACAGATTCTAGGCTATGACTATGAACATACCTGTATTGAAATAGATATAGGTAAGTTTTTATTATGTATGGTCGGTATTTGTGAGGAAAAATAAACATAATAATTATTATATTATTATTATTATATAATGCGTAGATCGGAACAAAAAATAACAACTTAAAACTAAGGTTAACTATGCCATTGGGACGTCGAGCACTTCAGGCACTCAACACGCCGGGAATATAAAATAAGTTAATTTAGGCGCAAAAATTATTTCATTCAATTTATTTAGATAATATTTTAAAGTAGATAAGACACGGACGGATATTTTGTACCGTCACCACACGGCAAAAAATATATACTGACCGTTATAGGTGATCCATGCAGTTGTAATCATGGCAATGTCGTTGTTAAGATTGCTGGGGTTGTAGCTGGAGTGGACCTCCACGTTGCTGGTTACGACTCTGGTGCCGCCGAAGAAGAGGCGTGTGGAGCCCATCACGACGGTGAACTCTCTGGCCTGGTTGCGACCATCGAACCAGCAGTGGGCAGCCGTTACCAAGCGGGTGTTGGTCAAGAGAGAAGAGCCGCACACGGAGGTGGCGCCGTTGGTCAAGCTAATCACCAACCCACCCTGAAATGGAGTATTTCTTCAATCATTGATTCATAATGGTACGTAAAGACGTGCTCAAAAAAAGCATGTACATAAGCTTGCTTGCTAAATAAAATGAGCATGCTCTGAAACTGTTCACATTTGTCAGCAATAAGCACGCTTAAAGCATGAGACGAGCTATTTCGCAACATATAATATATATATATATATATATATATATATATATATATATATATATAATGACAGTGCTATCCGTACAGAACTTAATAAAATAATCGTATTGCTTGCAACCGAATGGTGTAAGAAGAAAAAGCAAAGTTTTTTCTTCCCCCCAACGCGACATATCGAGGGTTTTTTATTTTAAATTGACGCAGCAACTGTCGCGAATCGAGATTCATTCGATAAAACATGCTCATAAGCAATCCTGTTCATGCGCTCGGAGCACGCCCTTCTACCGCGCCTCAGGTAGCATGCTCGAAAATCAAACGTCGCGTCGGTTGATTTTTGAGCTTGCAACGTATCGACACACGTGCTACTAATGAGCACTTGCGCAACAAAAACATGTTTTCGTGCTAGTAATGAGCACGTCTGTCCGTACTTTTACGGCCTATTGAAGTCACACTTGCCAAACTTGGCTATAAATTATTAACGTGTTTCTATGCTGTAGCATATAGCTATAGCACAAATTGGTCAGCTGAGACAGGACCACGCTTTCACAGAATGCCAGCGTAAAACAGCACCTTAATGCTGTTGCTGTCTTATGGTAAGTGTAAAGAAACGGATACCCTTTTTACTACAAACGAGGTATTCCATCTTATTTCTCAGAGGTGAAAACGATCTGCGTTTTGATTCTTAATCGAGGATAAATGTAGATGTCTATGGGCCACAGCATCCCCTTACCATCTAGTGGACTGTGTGCTCGTTTGTACCATTATTCTTTAATGAAATTGCGCTTTACCATTTACAGTTACGTCACCACTAACCATCAGGGGGGACAGCAGTCAACCACTGACTTATAATTTAGGATAATGGTTAAAGAGACAATTGAAAACCTTAAAATTTCTGTTTTTTTTTTATAATATGGCACATTATATTTACATTTATAATATTTTTTCATATTCCTACATTTTCGTCCGATTCTGAGCTATACAGTCAGATGGTCCTAACTCATCGGGAAGTTTAAAATCCTTTACTAAATTCAACCCGAACATACACACACGATTATATATTTATATAGAGATCGCTTGCTCCACTGCTGATCATGTGGTCTCGCGTTTAAATCCCGGGTCAGACTATTAAATTAGTACTTGGGTTCTTCTGTCGAGAAATTCTTAGTAGCAGACGAGAGTGAGATAGTTGGCGGTGTTTCACCCCCGTGTCTTAAAGCTGTAAAGCCGTTGGTCCTGCGCCTCTCTCCGATCGTGTCGGATTACTAACCCATCGGACTATAAGAGTGAGGGAACAGGGAGTACACTTGTGTTTGAACATACACTCGTGCACTATAATCCTGTCCTGCGCAGCTGCGCAGATGGCTAGTCTCCGTTGAGACTGGCCGCCTTGACCGAATCTTCATTTAAAGGACATTATTTTATTACGAGCATAAATTGAACAAACTCACCATATGAGGGTAGGCTCCTAAAGAGGCCGCTGAGCCTCCCACGATCCTGGAGCCGTCGAAATCGGCGGCCAGCTCAGACTGCTTGATGTGCTCGGCCAAGGAGATGCCCACATTTTCGTGGTAGTGCAACAGGATCGGTTCCTCGGCCAACACCAGCGCCACCAGGCAGGACAGAGCAACCAGGAAGAGTTTCATTGTGGGAAGCTAAACGGACTTTGGCAGATTCTTCCACGGGAACTGTTTTTATTTAAACAATCTTATCTCAATTTGCGTTTTACTTTAATTAAAATTAGCAGATATCGGATTAACGTCAATGATATAATGAATTATTACGTGAGGATTTACACTTTTGTCGAGTCTTAGATATTAATGAAAGCATCTAGACATTTGTATTAGCATTGAATATAATAATAATGTAATAAAGCTGAATTTCGGTCACGGCGGCCGGCCTCAACGGAGACTACCTATTTTTGCGTAGGACAGAGGCAACAGACGAGCATCTTTCTTATAGAAACTAAAAATTATAACTTAAGTTGATATTTTAAAAACCTTCGGAAGAAAAAGAGCTGACGATTTTCAAGCCGTTTGAAAGAGTAGATCAGAGATAGTAGATCAGATGCAGATGACAACATTATGAGTAAGTTTAATTGGCATATAAAGGGCCTTATAGAATAGCAGTAGTACCATTTGACATATGAGTTTGAGGAAATTTCAATGCTTTTCAATTATTAAAATATTTTAAATATATCTACATATATTGGTATAATATAAATATTGTAATATAAAGGAGTCTCGTGGGTGGCCTTTGAAATTATCAAGCTATTGGCCTTAAATAATTAAAGCTATGAGCAGGACATTAACATTTATAATAAGATAAAAAGACTAGCAATATTAACATCGTTAATCTTCTTGTGATCTCTGTGATCTTATTATAAATGTTATGTTTTATCTTATTATAATTGTATATATACAGATTGTAAGATAATTTTTTATAAAATAAATATGGGGAGTTGAATCAGGGTGAATGGCTCAATCACATTTATCTTGTGTGTGAGTAGCCATCTGATTTCAGCTTATATTCAATAGAACTGTATGCATATATAAGGTGACATTATTGAATTAATGTTTCAATGAATTAAATAGATAGTAAACACTAGAAGTCAAAAATTGAATGAGAACCACTGTATCAACAAATTATGGTCTTATCGCATTAGGATAGATGAATGGATTATGGTCTTACCGAATATATTATAATAATAAAGATACATAATTATATAGATATATTTAATGGCGTAGGGAAGTGACGACCCCATCACCCGCTGACGTAACGGTTATGTGACAAACCGCTACTTCAGTGCAGTCAGTCAGCACCTTGCCAAGAGGTGTCAGTGCCGTGCCTCGGCAAAAATTGAAGGTGCAAAGGCCCGCTTGTGCACAAGGCCCACCATGCAACGGCGCCGGGTCTGGGCGTCTCCCGTTAAATGACGCCCACAAAAATGGATGATGGATTTGACTAGAATGCGCAAAGGGCCGCTGCCTGGAGGTCGCCAGGGCGCGTCTGGAGCTGGCGCTGGATACGACAGCATGCGAACTACCAGCCGAGCGCTAGGTGCTGCACGACCACCCAGCAGCCCCTCGCATCCATCATCCCCACCAGCTGGCTTGGTATCGACAGGGTCTTCGCGGGCCCAGCATTCGGCACCCGCCACTGATGGAGCACGCCGCTTGCACTGGACAACTCAAATGAACAGCAACGCACTGCGGGCGTATTTTAGGGCGAAAGGGGGAGAAATTGGAGGTTTTGCGTATCGGGCAAGGATGCATCGACTTTTAGCTGAGCTGGAGCCATCTGTAACCGTCACCGAGCAAAACCTGGCAGATCGAGTTCGGTATATCTTGCGCTCAAATACATTTGATGTCACCGAACTCGAACGGCTACGACGAGGCTGTTCCTTTATCGGATTAAAATGCTACGGCTGAGGATGCGGCGCCACAAATTGTAGAGCAACCCGCAAACCTGGATGCCACCGTGAATATCCCAGTTGTGGTTAATTCAAACGATGATGGAACAGTCGCCCAGGAACTGGAACTGGAGCAAATGAGGAGTACATTGGATGAGGCGATTTTGGAAACGCGCAGTACGCCTCTCCAAAATCGACCGCGACTTCCCCGCATAGCCCTAAGCAAGCGGAATCGGGCTATCATGAGGGCTCTAAACCCAATTCTGGTGACCTATTTGGAAGCCAGTCGGGACATTTGCGAGACGGACTCAATTCTCTTTGGCGCCGCACTGGCAGTCTGCCGTATTATAGGCGCCAAACTTTCCACGGCTGGACGCACTACTGGACAAAGTAGTGCTATCCCAGCATGGAGAACAAGAATTTAAGAACGTATCGCAAAGGATAGGGCCACCATCGGCAGACTGATATGCTTCAGGTCAGGCAATACCAGGCCAAGGATTGTGCGCACCGTCAGGATGGCGTTTGTTGGGACAAATGTTAGTTTGTCCTAGCCGGATATAATGCAAAAAGTGACGGAGCGCATAGACAACATGAAGCTGAGAATCGCTGCTTGGGGAAAACGGATTCGGCGATATACCTATATACTATACGTATATACTATACGTGGTAGAGCCATGCTGCAGTTATATTAGTAGTATAGTTGTAGCACGAATGGGTCGGCTCGACCGGGGAAGGACCACGCTCTCACAGAATACCAGCGTGAAATAGTAGCTTAATGCTGCTGTATTTCGTGTGGTGAGTGTAGAGAACCGAAGACCCTTTTTGCTGGAGGCGAGGCATTCCATCTTAGTCCTCACGGGTGACAACGCATCTGCATTTTGATTCGTAATCGAGGATGCCTATGGGCCACAGCAACCACTTACCATCAGGTGGACTGTATGCTCGTTTGTCACCCTATCCTATAAAAAAAATACCGAGAGGTAGATACGGTTCAAGCAGAATCGTCTCTTCCAGAGTGATCAGAAGAGACTCTATAAATCATTGGAGCAACCAATGGTAAGAGGAACGGGCCCAGCACCGAATCAGGTAGACACGGTCGCATTCGGGTGCAGCTTGTGGTCAGAGCCCGTAAACCACAACGAGGGCCCTTGGACGGATGTTGTGCGACGGAGTTGTGGCGAGTCAGTGTGCGGGTATTACGCCCATGGACCCCGTCATCATAACGCCGGATGACGTAGCTGAGGCGGTCCGTAGGGGCCCGAACTGGAAAAGTCCGGGGCTTGACGGGCTGCATCATTACTGGCTGAAGGGGTTCATGGTGTGTCACGCTGTCCTCGCCCTACAGTTTCAGGAGGTTCTCAACCAGAAGTCGCTCTCGAGCCTCTTCACTACTTTCCTGAAGATCAGGGTGCCACAGACCCGAG